TCCAGCAGCCCCAAATGGAAAGTGGACAGTAATCCTTGCTAGTTCAAATAAAACATGGTATCATAAAAATTAGTATTAGTGTACCCAGTTTGAGTTAAGGGCTTTATTGAGGTACTGCAGGAGCTCAGCACCACTGACTCAGTCCAGGGATGTCTGTGCCACACCCAAGGGTGTCTAGATTTGCCCCTCCTTTTTGTAATCTCATTACCCTAGAGAACAGAGATCCATCTGAGAGCGTGCTTAACACCAGCATGAGTCCAAGATTTCCTAGGTACATCTTCTTTCTGCCTCACTTGTGTCTAGACAGGCTCAGAGATCGTCTAAACTTGTCCTGGATTTCTGGATGACTGCTAGCCCATAAAGCTGGCTGTTACAGCACAGGCACAAGAACTCCAAACAAGCTGCCATACCTTTGAAATCCCAGTCATACTCACAGCACAGATGCTGTTTCAAACAGCAGTAAGCCACCTAGGCATAAGCTGATCAAATATATTGATAATTCTATTTTGAGTGTGCTTACATACTTTACTGAAAACCAACAGCTTTCTCAAAAGTTATTCAGAAAAAAATGGCCAAACCCTTATATCTTAAATCCAGGTTCTGGAGATATTTGTATTTTTTTGTAAGTTAGAACTCCTGGCCATACAGCAAATATTTAATGGGTAACTTTGCTTCTACTGGTGCTCCATCCTGCAGGTAGGCACAACCTCTCCCACCTTGCTTGCACCAGGTAATGCATTAACCATCCCTCTGCCCTGCCCCAATATTTACCCAAACCACTGAATCTTATTCACGAAATTTTAACACAGGGAAATGAAAATTTTAGTTAAAAAAAATTATGACAATTATACACCATCTACTTAAACCACTAGCAAAAAGTAAAAATATGATAAAAAGTCATTAAATAATGCTTTCTAAAACACATTTGCAATTACAACATTATGCCTGCCATGGCAGCATAAGTTACATCTTGCCTAGAAAAGGCTAAACAATGTTCCCTCTCCCCCAGATTAAGTCAAGATTTTTCTTGAACAAATACGCCAAGAAACTTAAAAAAATATTTTTTCTTTTAAAATATATTGTATTAAACTCCTGTACATGGCACTACCTCTCAAATTAATTAAGATATTCAAGTTTCAAATTCAAGAAAAATATTCCTGAATTGTTCTTCCTCTGAATAATAAACTTTTAATTAAAATCAGGAAAGACTTGAAAAGCATTACAGGGGATGAAAAATGAATTTCACAAGTTAAAAAATCCTCCCATAAAAAAGACAACAAAATATGCATAAATGAGAAGGATGAACAAGTGAAGAAAGCCATTTGTTTGAGTCTGTTGGGCAGTACCTGTGGTCTGAGTGGGGCACTTTGTTAATACTTCTGGTGCTCTGAATCCAGGTGTTCCTGCCCTGGGAGCCACTTGCTGACGCCTTGCAATAAGAGACAAATATATTTAGAATGTAAAAGTTGACAAGTAAGTTCTAAATCTAATAATACTTACTATTATTTTTAGAATATACTTGTGTAAGATGTGCAAACAACCTAAATCTGCTTTATTCAAGTTCTACAGAGGTTTCAAGCATCTTATCTAGCATGAAATCCTAAGATACACACATAATAGCCTATAATAATTATCTATTATATTAGATTTTAATTGTATTATCTACCATAAGATAATAGCAGAGAAATACTTATTGCATACTTAATTCACAATGACCTTTTCTTAAATTCATCTAAGAGAAGTGCCATTTTTGTTAAAGGCTTGTTTTCATGGGAAACTTTGAAGTTGAGGCTAATTAACCCAAGGCAAAAACTATATGAGATTCTTGCATGTGGATGCTATGACTTTGTGTTAGTACAGAGCAACCTAAGGGTTCTTCTGAGTGTTGCCAGGAATTTACTTTTTGTTAGATTAACTAAAAGGTCCAAGGTTATCATTATTTAAAAGATCCTGTGTGATAAAAGGCAATAGTAGATGATAACCAAAATACCTGCAGAGGGATGGAGTTGAACTCAGCTGCTGAGATTCCCCAACACCAAGCACTGGAGGAGGCTGCCCAGAGCAGGTGCCCATCCCTGGCAGTGCTCAAGGCCAGGGAGGAGCTGCCCCTGCCCATGGCAGAGGGCTTGGAAAAAGATGACCTTTAAGGTTCCTCCTTCCAACCCAAACCATTCTCTGATTCTCTTAGTTTTTTAGATGAACAAATACAAAACAGTCATGCTTCCTTTTTATTCTACATTTCATTATTTTTGACTGTTGCTATAATTTAGGCCTATTAGATAACTACTAAATGACAGAATTTAGAACACTTTTCTAAGTGTTGTAATTAACTCAACTGATTTTCTACAACACATGTAGGTGAATAAATAAGCACAACAGCAAAAAAATAATTACCAGGGAATCTTTCTAGCTGCAGATAGCAGTGGACTAATCCACGAATTCCACCAACTATTTTGGTTTAAAAAGAGCATACTCAGTGTTTTAAGGGCTGCAGAGATCAAATACTATATTTCACTTACTAAATCAGCATTCTAGTAAACCTAAGTTTCTGACTTTGCTTGACAGCAGAGTAGACAATTTTACAACATTATCAAAGCAAATTACCTTGAAAGGCAAACACTGCAGACTCTGTCCGTTGCATAACAGTCACAGGGCAGGTTTAAAGGGCAAGCACTGGCAGCTTTCCTGGCTGCCCCACTGCTCACAGTTCTGGTAGAAATAATCTTCTTCTTTGTTACTAGCTTCCTAGATGAAACATCTATCACCTTTGATTGTTTTATGAGCTGCAATGGAGAAATTTTAGAGAAGGTGACATACATATTTAAGAAGTTTCCTTTTACATATAGATAGGACAGTTCCTAAAATACTGACTTAACAGGTGCTGATGAACATGAAGAATTTTAGAACAGACAGCAAACCTCTGTAACAGTACCAAAACTGCTATAAAACAGACACTGGAACTTTCTAGATAGCCTGACTTCCTCCCGTGCAGAAGACATTTTCAGTGTTTACAAAAAAACCAATATATATTAGATATTCTGAAGCTACAAGACAAATATTTTTCAAGTTATTATAGTGTTTCAAGATTTTTTTTCTCAATATGAGAATAAGCAAAAAAGAATATGAAATGACACATCAACACACTGACATTAACTCTAGTTCTACAATAAAATACCATAAACCAAACCCTCGAATTAGTCGGGGTTTGCCCCTTGTTGTATTAAATACTAATTACAAAAAAAATAGTTATAAGTTTTATCCTCAGCTTCAACTGCAAAATATTTTTTTTTAAATTTCCCAAGGTAAGTAGGAAGTAGTTTAGCTCAGGATCAGGCTCCCCAGGGCAGGGGTCACAGCAGCAGCCTGCCAGAGCTCCAGAAGTGTTTGGACAATGCTCTCAGGCACAGGGTGGGACTCTGGGGGTGTCCTGTGCAGGGCCAGGAGCTGGACTCGATGATTCTTATGGGTCCCTTCCAACTCACTTTATTTTATGATTCTGTGATTAGCTGTAGATGTATAGGAAATATCTATACAGATAGATGTATAGGAAAAAAGATTAACTTAGCATCCAAACAACATCAGCTAGGGAGACAGCTACAGAACTCCTTGTTTAGGAGCTTCAAAAGGGACTCAAACAGAAATGAAAAGTTCTTTGAGCCTTTCAGAAAAGACACGTTTAATAGTCTGCTCAAAACCTTTTAGTTCCACAGCATTTTGGAACTTGCTCTGTCTTACAGAACAACCAGTTCTATACTTTTTCCAATATGCAGCAGATTGATCCTACTGATGTAGAGTCAATACTTCTTACTTTTGTGCTTGAGTTCTCCTGGTATGTGGAGCTGTAGACATTGAAATTCCTCTCTCCAAAGACAGAGCGCTGGACAGAATGGTGCACAGAGTCCTCCTAGAGACCAACAAAAAGGACAGTCAGGATCCTGTTTAACAGGCATCTGGGTACTGACAGTTCAAAAAACATGTGGAGTGTCACAAAACTAAACCAGCTGCGTGTAAGTAATTTTCAGGCATCAGGTTACAGTGGATGAAGAAACATGGTCTAGACAGAACAGCAAACATGTTTACAAAACCAATCACACCTCTGAAGTGCCCCAAGACAATCCAAGTGTAGTCTGTGTTGCACTTGTTATGCAACTAGTAACTAAACATAGGTGAATGATTATTGGGGAGGAGTTTTCCCATCCATGTCTCTAAAAAAGGATTTAAGGCTGTCTAAATAGTAACTCATGTTAGGGTTATACAGCCTTCAGCACCGTATTACATCTAACAGATAATGATGAAGGCAATAGTTATGCACAAGTGGCTCCTTAGATATGAACAGTGTGCTGCTGTGCAGGCTCAGCTTCTGTGCAAGTACTGCATCTCCCCCTGTTGGATGAAGTAACACATTAAACATAGACACCAGCATTAAGGAAAGAGATTGAGAACCTTTCCTCCTCTTCCTTGTTTCATCTGTACTTTTGAAAGTGAGCTGGACCTTCTGTCAGCTGCTTTTGAGGCTGACTGTTGAGCTATCTGTTTGGGTGCTGTGACACTGACAGAAACCCCATTTCCCAAGGTTACAATGGGATTCATTTGCAAGCAACTTCCCTGCTGGTCTTCAGAGTGGGCACTTTTAAGAAGCTCAATTTTCGTATCAGGGGTTCCTTGTGCCAAGCCAAAATCTACCAAGGCATACCTGAAAAGACAAATTCAGAATCAGGAGTCACAAAGTTATCTATTAGTCATTCAATTTACTATTCATTATTTTTCTTTCACACTTCATTCAATGTTGCTTATCTGTACTCTTGCCAGCATCACAGTCCTATTTTCTTCCTTCTCCTCCTACTGACCCATCTTACACATCTCCTCAATGTTTTCACCCTTCACCATTGTTCATTGTTTTTTTGTCCCAAAATCTTATCAAGTGCATCCTTCCTCCAAAGTTGTTAAAAAAATATTTCCAGCAACTCCTTTCTGAAGTTTTTCTAATCCTACAGCCCTGAACCTTCAGCCAGCAGTCAAGTACAAACGACTCAACTTGTGCAGGATTCCCACAGGCACAGGACAAAGGCAGCAGTGAACACAAACCAGACCAACAGTGCCTAAAGTTTTGACAGAGTTCTGGCAAATACTACTGGAATTGACTTTAGTCTTCAAACAGGTAAGGCTACATTAGTTCACACTTCAGATCTGTCTCTAAAAAGGATTATTTTTTGCTACAACCAGTACAGAGACAATCCATCGGTCCCCAGGTCTCAAACTCAACTCCACACCTCTATACACAAAGTGGAGATTAAGGCTTAAAAAATGCAGGAAGAGCAAAATGACAGTACATGTTCATTTTGACAGATTAAAACATCCAAAACAGTATTTCTCAAACTTTTAAGCTTGTGGTTTGGCAAAATGCAATCAAATCTCCCCTACAAACTTCCACTGCATAGAACCACAGAAACATTTAGGCTGGAAAAGACCTTTAAAATCAAGTCCAACTGTTAACCCTGCTCTGCCAAGTCCCACAAAAGCATGTCCCTAAGTGCTGGATCTACAGGTCTTTTAAATTCCTCCAGGGATGGTGACTCAACCACTTCCCTGGACAGCCCATTCCAATGCTTGATAAACTTTTTTCTAGTATTTTATCTAAACCTTCTCTGATGCAACTTGAGGCTGTTTCCTATAATTTCCACATGGGGGATGTGTATCCTGCTACAGTGCTTTGTTTTAGACACACTCCAATACCTCCATGTCTCAGCTTTGCAAGCACTATGCTAACAAATACAGCTATAGGACTGCTAGCACTGTAGCACTCTGTCTACTTCAGCTCTTCTCAAAGAAGCAGTACTTTGTTTTTTACAATCTTTAAATTTTGTAACTTGCAGGCAAAAGAGCCAACTCTACTAGTTATAAACATTAATTCCTGGTAAGGTGAAACCAGCCCAAAGCCAGCTATCTTACCTGTATCAGTTTTACTCTATCCACTATTAAAAATGTACAAGGATCATTCTTTGTACCACAAGTTACAATTGACTTTCTTATTTAGAAAAAAAACCCATATTTTATTCTTCTCATTATTATTTGAAAATGTAGTACTTTTACTCAGTAGTAAAATCTTCATTTTATCAGGTCTTTGTCACTCTATGAAGCAGATACTACCTTAAGTAAAAAAAATCCTTCCCTTCTCAAGTCCCTTAACAGTGAAAGAAAAATTTTACAAATAAAACCCCACGGTTTCAGCTTTATTATTTAAGCACATGTTATGGAGCTGGAAGGAAAGAAGCTTAAAAATGTAATTGACTCTCTTCTGCCAAGGCACACATCCCCAGATGAGATCACAGCATGGCCAGACTCACTTTTTCAGCTGCCTGTTGTAGAGGAAGTTGCTGGGCTTGACGTCACGGTGAACAATGCCGAAGTGATGGATGCGCCTCAAGGCTTTAAACAGATTAAACATGTATTCCCTCACTTCTTCAAAGGAAAGGGAATTCAAAATGTCCTGAAAGGATATTTGGATACTGTAATTTATAGAATTATAGAATAATTATGCATCTGCTTTTAATTAAATGTTTTACTACATACCACAAGTCTGAGACTCACCAAGAAGGACTCGTGCTCCAGATATGGCATAACAATAACAACGTGATCATTTTTCCTAAAGCAGTATTTAACTCCCATAACATTATCTTGTCCCCTAGAAGAAAAGCAGTATTACTGAACAAAGAACAGAGGATGGATATTTATTTTTCTTTATTTTTTCAAAATAAAAACTTCAGTCAAGCTTTCTTTTAATCCTAATTTATATTTTGACAGCAGTCTTAATCAGCAATCAGCACTTGTGCTCTTGCTGCTCACAGCTATGCTCCATTTTATGCTCTATTCTCCAGTTTGGAATAGAACTCTACAGATGATCTGTGGGGCTGTAGTTTGTAGTTACCACTGCAATTAATATAGGCCCTAACTTTCATGATCCTACTACTTTAAGAAAGTGCTATTCAGCACCCTCCACCAACAAATATCCATTCCTAAAACCACATTTCTAATGAAGTGATTATTTTTTCCAAGCATTTCAGAACTGGGACTTTGTTACCACAAAGATATATAATGGAATTTCTCAGCTGGTAAATAGAGCACCCCTCCAAACTGAGACCAGCAGCAAAGGGCATCCATTACAGGTAAGACACTCCTTTTGTTATTTGCTCTCAAGAAAAAGAATATATTGTGTGTGTTTAAATACAAATCAAGAGAAGTGCCAAAACTTAAATACAGAACAGTGAGACAACATTCAGCTGTTATGAAAATCATAATTTTTTAGTTTTTGTACCCTGCCACTGTGAGGCACTGAAGTTCAGCAGCTATTCGCAGAGGGTGGCTGGTTGGAATCAAGTGTTTCAGAGCCATTTTTTCCTCATATCCTGTTTGTAGCTGTGCTGTGGCCAAGTAAACAGAACTAAAAGTACCTGTAAACAAAGGAGAAAAACACAGTCTTCAACATTTTTAATTAGGTCAATGCAGATTTTTACAGAAATGATCTGACTGTTCACAATCCCACAGTACACTTGATACTACATCAAAAGCAGATTCTAGAAAAGAAAAACCCAGTTCCTTTTTTCTACTACTGAATATACTGATCTTGTATACAAGTTTTTTATGTCAGTAAAAATGCAAATATAACACTGTCTAACTTGCCTGGGACACAGTGCTCTTTGAATGTAAATTTCCTATCTTTGATTTGCTTTCTTGTTTAGGTAGCTTACTTTCATCTGACATCTACCTCCTCTCCCTACAATGTAAGAGGACTATATAATGCTAATCTGGAAAGCACTGCCAGTGCTATTCAAAGCACTTCTGAAATTGCTACATTTTCCTTAATTCTGTACTTTATCTATAAAGTAAGGTTTCCCACATGATGTCTCACTGCGCTGTTTATCTGCCCAGAGCATTTTACCACATCCAATGTGAGATCCCTTGCTTGAGAAAGGGAGCATTCAGCCTGTATGATAAGCTTAGCCAGCCATTTAATTTTAAGGATATCCTAATAAGCCTCTTAGGAGGTTAATTTATCCTTATGATCTGAGATATCTGAACATACAACTTGAAGTGTTCTTCCATATGAATAAAGAATAGAAATTACTTTTGATTACATTTTAAGTAATGTGTTTGCATCATGCTGGTTCAACAGTCTGAGTGCAAACATACATCAAAATGCCAGCAAAACCTAAATACTTCATGCAAGCATAAAAAAAATCCCAAAACCTGGATTTTGGAAATCCCATACTTCCAACAGAATTGATTGCAGCAACAAGGGTTACCAAATTTGACTTAAGACATTATTTTTGGTGGTGAGAACTGCTAAAATAAAAGTGATTCCAGAGTGGAATCCTAAGCTGAAGCTTGTTTTCTCATAATGCTGTTGTACTGCAAATGGTACTTTTAAAAAACATTGTTGGGTCCCAAGAGTAATATCAGAGTATTATTCATAACCAGAAATTTTGTTTAATTACACAATCTTTTTTATGATAGGAAAAAGTTGTTGTTTTTTTTTTTTTTTTAATTTTACATTCCTGTGGGGAATGGAGCTGGGGGTTTTTAAGTAGCTTGGTGGTTTTTGAAATAAAAACTCTCAGGCATCTAAAAAAGTGCTGAAATCCCACAGTCAGAAGAACCTGGATCTATTTATAGTCATGGCTGACACTAATTCAAGGTATTTGCAACACTGTCTTGTTAGAGGCAAGGAGAACAAAAGCATCCTGAAATTTGATACCGTGTGTCTTCAAAAATAAAATGTTGGTCATTTTTTAAGTAAAGCAGCTCCAACCTTTCAGTTTCCTCATCCACTTCTGCCCAAGAGATTTTAGTGGAAACAAAGCTAATTTAAGGAACACCAATTAAGTATGTCAAAACACAGCTACACATAAGTAGATTTCTCATGTAAGGGAGAAAAACGAATGGATTTTTAAGACTATTTTCTTGAATCTACCTAAAAATTATTTAATTGCCAAAATTGGAATGCTGGTTTCTTAAAAAGGCTTTAATATACCAGATTTTCAAGAAAATAGCTTGAAAGTGTTCCTAATTAATACACCCATGTGCTCAGAAACATATTACAATTCCTACAGAGACCATGTAGCAAGTCAAAAAAAGGTATTTGGCTTAAACTGTGTATATTGGGATCTTTGATGTACACTTTTTAAGTTAGAAATGCCAAAAGAAATCTTAACTCCAAGCAAGATGAAACATTTACCTTCCCCGATTTTTTTCTTTATTTTGAACACATTTATAAGCTGTGGCACTGCTTCATAAAGTTTTTCAATATCTTTTTTTACTCCTGCTGTGGGAAGAATGGGGAAAATAAGTTAGGAATTTTATTACTTGATTCAATATCTGATCTATTTTGGAGATCACAAATGACACTTCATAGGACCGTGGATTCACATACACAGAGGAAAGAACAGCACAAAGGTATCCTATCCTCTTGACACTACCATGTGGATACTTGATATTGTTGTTCTTCATTACACTCCTTTCTAAGCTGCAGCATTTAAACCATTTTTTTTACTTATCTGACAGCAGATTCTGAGAGGGCAAAACTGCCTGGTTTGTAGGACACCTACAGCTCATCACTGAATGTTTACATGGAATTTGCAACAGCAATTTGGCAAAAGGCAAAACTATAACAATTTCTGTAAGCAGAGGCGCAAATCCATCAGATGCAAATCCCAAATGCAGAAAAAGCAGTATTTTTTAGATATTTTTAAGATTGGTAATGCAATCTTTCCCACTGTTACTTAAAATAGCGGCTACCAAAGCCCATGTTTGCTGTGCATTTCAGCTGCTGCACTTCACGCTGCAATCACTAGATGGCACGACAAGGATGCTGTACTGGATTATTTCATAAAAACCATGTCATTTTCCATTCATTTTACAAATCCTTGTTGTTCAAACCTTTTCTATATCCCACACAAGAATTCACTTCTTTTGAAGCTATCAATTGAGTAGAGGCTGTGACTAATTTCTGTGAAGCAGGGGTAAAGAATATCTCAGTATACAGAACTAAGCACAAACTGGTATTTGAAAAGTCAATCAAATGTGTATACATTTTTCATTCTAAAAATAAATAACAAATTAAATTTAGCATAGACAGATAAACTGTAATGTATTCGATATGTAAAAATGGATCGTGTTTCCCCAGGGCAGTAAATCAGAAGCAATAAGACTTTTTTTTTTTTAAATCATAGATATGCTAGAAGCAAAGCATAGATTAGCAGGCATCCCTAGCCTTCTATGTAGCTTACTTTAAACAACAACAAAAACTGCCAAAAGAACACTTTCTTCCTTCTAAAAGCCCAATAAATCAGCTAGTAATTCAAGTCATAGTTAACTTTCAAATTTTTTTTATTTCAAGATTTTATAAAAACTAACATACTAAAAATGCTTCTAAGAAGTGACACTTGCTTCTTCACTTAACTATCTATTTACATTCTGGGTTTTTTTTTTCCCTTTAAGTTGTTCTCTTGTCTTCTTCAAATTGTTTTAAGACATTTTGGAAAATATTTCAGGAATGAAAAAATCCTAAGGTATATACTAACAACCATGGAGAACTAACCCAACAACTGCTGTAGAATCTGCCAGATACTCCATTTTGTCCAACACTGAATTGAGATTCCTCCCTGGAGAAAGTTAAAGCTGTCAGACCATTTCAAGCAGGGTGGCAGAGGCTGCAGTGCCTACCCAAGGCACTGACAGCATTTAGGAGCTCAGCAGAGCTGGTCTGGGTGAAAGAGAGAAGTGCTGGAACAAGTCAGTGAGTGTCCTTGTTGAAGGACAGCAGTGTAAACATCACCTGCTCTGTTCTGGGGGCCTGGATCCTCACCTGGGTACAGAGAGCACACAGTCATTGTGCTGTCAGGGTAATGGTACCGATATTAGCCAGCATTTTCTGTGAGCAGATTTTAAAGTGATTTTTTCTCATATTTGCAAAGCAATACCAGCAGTATTCAGCATCAATCTGGGCAAAATACTGTGTTTGTGCACTTGTCTGGCCAGTTTTATTCTCAAGGGCTGGCTTTTTTTATTCTGATATCCTCTTATAATAACATGTTCTGTAATATATTAATAGTAGGTTTAGCAACACAACTGTTGCTGAAGTTTTGTAACACACAAACAGCAGGAAAATTAAAAGCCACCTCAAATGTTTTCATTTCATTAATTCTTTCTATAAAAGGATTATATAGAGACAGGCTTATAATCAATACTGAAATTTCCCTAAATGATGAAGCAGCCTGTCAGCAACAAAATGTAATGTTCACAATCCCTGTTTCAGCACGTACCTGAAGGCTTGCTGCTCTGCTCCAGATTCTCGTGGAAGTCTTCAGCCTGCTGAGGGTGCTGTTCATCGCAGGGAGACTTCAACACCGCCTCCATCACAAAACAACTCCCGAGTAAAAAAAAAATGCAAGACTCCGAGGGCACTTCTGGACACCTGGGGGAGCAAGCATATCTGGTAAGACACTTCCTAGCCCTGCACTCAGTTCCTGAGATGAGATTTAGGGAGTCTGGGGAGTTCTTCTGTGCTACCTAAAACAAAGTGCCACCCACCATCCCAGTGAAACAGTAAAGCAACGAGGATAGAAGGGGGAGGGAAACGGAAGGAAGACTTAAAGCAGGATAAGCTTAAATACAACTGATTTTCATCTCTCATGTTTCCTCATTCACATTAAAGCACTGTCTTTTCCCTAAAGTTTGCTTTGAAAGGCAAGGAATGGATGCACACAGAAATAGCTGCACTGCCCACTGGAAAAGCTATAGAAAGCCAGAAAGACTGAAAGAAATTATAAAAGAAAAAAAAACCTTCTCCATATGAGAAATCTCTCCCTCCTAGATAAATTCAGCAAAACATAATTATTCATTGCCCTCCCACCACAAGAAAAACAGAACATGCTTATTTTGAAATGCTTATTCCCAAATCTTGGAAACGCTACATAAAACTGAACTAGTAAAGTCCACTAGTACTGTACAACCAAAAAAACCCTGATAATCCCTTTTCAGGAGCAAAAGAGTGGCAGGGACTCCCAGGGCAGTAATACCAGAGATAAGTAAGCCTGGAAGCAGCAGCTCTGACAGTTACTAAAACTGGCTCCATTGAAAAACTTTCCTTCCTTGTTACTTTGCCAAATCTTTAAAGATCTGGACGAACTTTTCCACACAGGGGAAACAAATTCTGAAAAACTCCTGATGAAAGGATTCATCTGTTTCAGCTTTGGTGCCAGAAATACATTTTTGTCCCCAAAGACTTTGTGCTCCCTTTACTCTGTCATCCTTGAGCAACAACAAGGGCCAGGAGGCAGGAGCCGGCTCTTTGGAGCCCCGTTTTTGTGCGGGAGCTTTGCTGCAGAGGGCCTGGGACGCTGCTGGAACGGGATTAGAGTCAGTTCCAGTCTCACAGGTAGGCACTCTCTCTGCTAGGGGTCAGCAGGCAGGCTGGCCCGTTCCTATCGCGCACCACCACGGTCTCGGCAGCAGCGCAAGCACGGCAAGCGAACACACAGAGCTGCCGTCCGCTACCGGCGAGCGAGAGCCGGCACACGTCCGAACCCCGGTGCTGGCACCAGGGCCGTACCGAGCGGGACCAGCCCGAGCTCGGCACTGCCCTCACGGGACAGCCCCCGCCAGCCAGGCCCCGGGGCCAGCGCACGCCGCGGCCTTCCCCATCGGCCCCGGGGCTCACGGGACGCATACGGGCCCTTCGGCTCCACTCCGGCCGGCCAGGGGAGCCGTCGCCGCGGGGATGGCGGGCACCGAGGGGCGGAGGGTGCGCGGAGCGGGGACCCCAGAGGCGCGGCTCGGCCCGGTCCCGGTTCGGTGCCGGGGCGGCACGGGTGAGGCTGAGGGAGGGGGGGAGGGAGCGGGGAGCACTCACGCTGACACCGGCGCGCGCCGGGCTTTCGCTGCCGCCGCCTTTCGCGCCCGCGCGCCGCCGCCAATCCCGGCCCTCGGCGGAAGCCGCGGCCCCGGCCAATGGCGGCGCCGGGCGGGGAAGGACGCGCTGCCATTGGCCGGGCCGAGGGGCGGGGCCCGCCCGCAGCGGCGCGCGCGGGGCGGGGCGCGGCCTGGCCTGTGCCACCCCCGCCAGGTCCCGGCCCCGCTTGGGACCGGAGTCGCCCGCTGGGTTCGGCACTGGAACGGTGTTTGTGCCTCAGAGTTCGTTTTCTGCCTGTGGTTATTGCGAAGTAATCCAGCCCCAAGTCCCCAGTAAATTCTTGTTCTTTGTAGCTCCGCTAGAAATTCAACCAAATGACCCAGAGGCCAAGGAAGGCTCCACCCACACCATTGCAACTCCTGATTGCCCTGCGAAAAGGAGCGCACAGAGTACAACATTACAGAGCACCTTGGCTCTGCTCTGCGCTGTAACTGCTGACCTGCAATGAGCAGGACAAGGAAACTTAGTGGAAATATTGGAACTATTCGCTGTAAGGTTTCCTGATGTTTGGAGTCGTTGGATTTTACTGAAACTAGTGCAGTTGTAGCTTGTAAAGGAAAGAATTTTGCTCTTCTTGTTTATTACCCGGTTTTGGTCAATTTTTCTTTTTTTATAGATAAAAGAATATTACTTTTGTTGAAGAGTTGCTCCACTGCACTTGATAATGCATAAGTCTCTTGTTCACTAGAATATGAACTGAAATAATCTTGTTTACTGCACAAGTCAGGCAGAGATCTGTAACTGTAGCCCTCATAACAAGCTGTACTTAGGTTAACAAATCGTTAAATGCAGAAACAGGTTCCACCACTTTTGTTAAGCTGCTCTTCCTATTACACATTTTAGAAGAAGGGTGCTGGAATGAGTTGCTGAGCTGCTTTGTTGGTTTTAGTAGGTTTTGATTTGATGTGTGGGTATTTCTTTTGCTACAGTTGTTCTCATTTGCACTTTCTGTTTAGGGCTCTAAGAAGTCAGTGCAGCAGTTTGAGATTTAGTTAAGTTAATTTCAGTGAAGTGTGACTGAATTTAAAAGCAGATTATCTCAAACATTAATTAAATGAGGTATAATGACAAAATAATGTAGGCCAAATTCTGTTCTTTCTTTTATCCATGTAATCTTAGAGAAGTTCAAAGGGCACCCTAAGCATTCATGAGTGCACGTTTGTCCTAGTGCTAATGACAAGCAACATCATTCTAAATGAACCTCTTGGGACAATCTTACCTACAGCCATTTCTGAGTACTGTTGAACCAGGAATTCTCTCTGCCAGTTAATGCTTGCATAATAGCTGCTGATTATTTACAGGTTGCATACTTAGCTCTGCTGCCTCCTGGCCAGGTCAGAGTTTCATCCCACTTCCTTGGCCTCCCTGCCTTGGAGTTGTCCTCATGTGGAATACCAAATCACCACCATTCTATGCAGCTCCCGTTATTGGCACTTCCCTGTCAGTCATATCCATGCTAACTTCCTCCTCATCACTTCAGTTCACTTTCACACAGCAAGAAATCTGCTTTCTTTATATCTTCTTATCAAGACCCTGTCTAGCTGTGGTTTCTTTCCTTGCAATGTCTCAATTCATCTTGGTTTCAACACTTAAAATTATTTTCCTTTAGACCCAGGTCATTTATCTAGCTTGATCATTAGCTTCTCTCCATTTCCTCCTTTCTTACTGATCCCAATATGTTGTGCTCTCTCATGTCATCCTTCCAGTAATGTTTCTCTATCATGTCAAATTTATACTTTTTTGTTCCCATGAGCATAACTGGCCTTATAGTATAATTTCATATTGCTTCTTAATTTATTGCCCCACTCTTTCTAGCCTGCCAGAAACACCAGTCTTCATGCTTGCTTTCATTTATGTCTTTTTACCTTCTTGTTTCTCCTCTGTTTAAGGGGGAATTTAAGTCAAATTGGATATGACTGTTTTCATATTCTCTCAAAAGTCACCTCTTCATCAATGTTTTTCTGCATGTACGTCTTCACAGGAGAGAGACAGATTATATGTTCTATTTCCTCAGTACTTAAGCACCTCCAGCTTATTTTTGCTCTAATTTGAATGGATTTAGAAAAAGCAAAGGTATAGCTTCTGCTTTGCATCTGCACAGCTTCTGTGCCTTTGCTGTAGCAGAGACACTCCCTGCTTGCTCTTGGCTCGGATAAGCAGAAACAACTCCTTCACTCGTGGGGCAGAGAAGGCTCCATCTTCTCGTTCAACACTGAGCATCCAGTTCCAGCCGTGCACTGCAGCAGGAACTTCTCTGAAGCAAAGAGAAGAAATGGCATTAACTCTAATTGACAAACAAAGCAGCACATCTAATGCTCTGTGAGCCAAACTGCTGCACTGCCTTCTCTTGTGGCTGTATCTCCAGGTTGGAAGTGAAGGGTGAGAAGGCAGATGACGAGCCAGGCCCGTGCAGAATGTTCCCTACGGCTGACAAGCAATGGCCAAAACCCACATCTGGGAGCTTGCCAAGAAAGGATCCAAACATTGCTGTGTGATTGCATCCACTGCTGCCAGAACCTGCAGCTGAATCAAACTTTTGCTGTCTGCTGACAGGCCTAAAAGGATCTGTGCTGACACTAGAGCACATCTATTAACCACTTCCTAGGTCAATTAAACCAAAAGCCTCCCTGTGTTTGTGCTGTCCTCCAGCCTTAGAAAAACAAGCAAGATCCATAAAGGTAATTGATGAATTGTATCCAGTACAAACAGAGGCAAGAGATCCTTAACATCCCCTTGCTGCCAAGAATATCCATTCATAAATTAGAAACTTAAAATTAGAAGTCAGAAGCTACTTAGAAATGGGCAAATAAGAGCTGGTGTTGCCCTGTCAGTATTAGAAGTATACATATACTCATGTAGACAAAATTCAATTTTAATGACAGTAGAGACGGTTAAATGTACTATTCAGTTTTCATTAACCTAAATGACACATGCTTTCCTACTTCTAATTACTCTTTTTGTTAGCAATATGAGTCTATGGCAAAAGTTTGCTCTCTTTGGCACCAGGTTGAGACACATCTCTTCATGCTATTGTGCCCTTTAGGAATACTGTCAAATTCAATTATTCAGGACTCGTGAGTCTTGCACTAACATGAAGAGATTGATTTGAAAACCATGGGACTAAAGTCCTTTTTTCTGTTTTTCAATTTCCATTTCTTAACCAGGAAAACTGAGATTGCCAGCTTTGCTCTCACATGCAGATGAGTGCAGCCCTAGAATAATGAACTCAGATGTGTCAGTGACTGTTTCTGCCAGCATTTTCTGAACAGCTATATCTGAAATAACAAGAATTGTTGTGGTGTCAGAAAACATACTGCAATAACAGTCTCTACAGCTTGTTTAAAGGCAGTTAAAAATAGATATAAAAATTACTTCAGGCAAAGACAGAGGAATTCTCAACCTTTTATAAACTGGATCTCATTCAAAC